TCTCTTTTCCACAAATCTTTTCTTTCTGAGGTTAAGAAATGAGAAAGGAGATCCTCTGTTTCCTCCTTTTGTCCCCCAACTCCCAACACACTGGGCATGTAACAGGTGCTAAATGATGGCTTCATTAGAAACCTCTCCACTGGGGGCATCTCTAGGACAGGTCTAAGTGGTTTTTTTTTTTTTTTTTTTTTTTTTTTTTTTAATTTTTTTTTCCAACGTTTATTCATTTTTAGGACAGAGAGAGACAGAGCATGAACGGGGGAGGGGCAGAGAGAGAGGGAGACACAGAATCGGCAACAGGCTCCAGGCTCTGAGCCATCAGCCCAGGGCCTGACGCGGGGCTCGAACTCACGGACCGCAAGATCGTGACCTGGCTGAAGTCGGACGCTTAACCGACTGCGCCACCCAGGCGCCCCAGTGGTTTGTTTTTAGTACTATCCCACAATCAAAACCTTCCCTACTTAGCAGATATTATCTTCATGTAAATAGAAGGCAAAGGGAGACTTCTTTCTCTGTTAAAGGGGTTTTAGGTATCAAAATACAGAAATGGAGGATAAATGGAGAACACTCCTTATTCCCCAGGAACCGGGTTCCTCTGGCGGTGACAGACCTATCCTACAGACCCCATTTAACAGTTGGCCAACGCCAGGCCTAGAAAAGAAAAAGGCTTTCCGGAGGTCTTTCCTTCCTACAGCCTTCATGGAGGATACAGATGACTTTCCCACAAGCCTCTGTTGTTCCAGCTCGGTCACTCAGCTGACTCGACCTGAGAGAAGAGGGACAGAAGCTGAGAGACTGAATGGCACACTGTCCCACTCTTGGCCTGTGGGTTTGCATTTCTCATAATTGGGCCCAGACAGATGCATTCAGATGACAAGTTCCTGCCCACACATGGCCCCTTGAAGTGACTGGCTGGGGGCGGGGGGCTGGGGTGCGGTGGGAAAGCCTTGAGCTTTTTAACAGCAACCTTGAGTCTGGGGCTGGAAGCCACATACTGCCCCTACTCTGGCAGGCCAGTGTAGGCAGTGGTGTGCACCCCGCTGGGGTCCCTCCCACCTCAGCTTGGAAACCACCTAGAGGTCCGGGGCTGGCTGTCAATACAACAGGGCCAGGGCCACACTGCCCGCTCTTGCCTAGAGGCCAGAAGCAGGAAGCTACTTTCTTACTTAAGGAAGGGATCTTTTATTTCCTAACTGGGAAAGGACGTGTTGATATGCAGAGTCCCAGCTAAGGAATTCACTGTGATGCCTAATATACGGCCCCTAATTCACCCCACCCCCTACCCACTGATACCCTCAATTTTGCTATTCCCCAAATACAGGTTTCTGGATTACTTCTGTTGATCTTTTTTTACTCGGCGCAAGGGATGGGTTACCTCCAGAACCTTGACAGTAGCATTGCCTTTATACGTCACAATGACCAGAATGTTCTATACATTTCCACCGCTTCAAAATTTCATTTGGAATGATTAGCCAGACATGAGACTTGCCAATAACTCACATTTTATAAAAAGGATTTTAAGTCCATGTGTGTAACATTACCAAGATATAATTCTCTAGGAAGGGAATTCCTATTTTATTTATTTATTTTTTTTGCAAACAATTTTAGAGGCAGGGTGTTAAACTGATTGAAATTTCACAAGATTGACATTATTGCTTAAAGTGCTTGACTTGGTTACAAAAAAAAAAAAAAAGATTAAGGTACAGATCATTTTAAATAAAAACTAAACTTGTTTTCTTTAGCAACAAAATGAAATGAATGCCACACAAATACAGTAACTATTTTGGTTACAAAGAAATGGAAGCCAAAAATAAATTAATGTAATACTGGAAAACAGAAATTTAATTAGGCAGAAAAGTAGGAAATAATTTTCCCTGACCCATGCCATTTACATGAGTTAATCACAATAGTGCCGATAAATGCCTTGACCATATAATAGCAAATGAGGGCAAAACATTTAGTGCACAATATTTTAATACACGTGAATATACAAAGTTGATCAAAATGCAATGTTTAAAGATAAAATCCATCTGTAATAAAGCTACACTCCAATATCTAAAATAAGCCCTAAGCTCCAGTTAGAACATAGTTCATTGTTAGGCATGCCCATGAAATTAAGCATATCCATGAAAATAAATGCATAGGGACCACTCCTGTCATTTTTTTTTTTTCCCATTTCATCTGAAATCCAAAATATACCAGGCGGTAAAACCAAACATGACTGGCTTCCGAGTCAAACCAACACCCTCCTGCATTGTGTTCCTTGGCTCTCTGAGAACCAGTCCATTCGATGTTGCCTTGGAGGGAAAAATGCATCCACGTAACAGGACTGGATGTCAGCTCATTTTGCCAAAAAGTGACTTTTAAACAAATGCCTTTTTAGCAAACTGTACCATAATCTAGATGCTCGGCCAGTAAGTCACCAATAAAGCAAATACTCTTCTCTCCTCTAGGTGTAAAACACTGTAACTTATTTTAAAACCCTGCAGCAGTTAAAAGAAATACAGCAGGCCTACTCACTCCTGCCAGAAAAGGACCCACAAAAACCCTGCCATTTGAGGGAATATTGCTGAGCCTTTGTGCTATCGTTGACCTCAGAATGGTCTCACCTACCTCACACCATTCCCTGCCCTGCACGAACGATGAACAAGGGTGAAAGAGAAAGTGTTTGCATGCTACTGTCTTTACATAAAGTGAAATGATTCTGGGGAAATGTAGCTGCCTAGTGTTTGTTCCATTTACTGAAGAGGAAAGAAATTACCAGATAGCTCGAAGTTTAAAAGCTGTGATGGAGTGTTGGTGGATAAGTGTGTTTTGGTCTTTCTCCAAGCTTCTTCTCCTGCATCACACAACCATTTTAATGCCTTTGCATTTTTTCTTCCGTACTTGTTTTTATTCCTAAACTCTATCCATGAATTCAGAATTTTAACTGACCCTTTCAATTACTTCTGTTAAGTCACTGGGAAAAACTCTTCACACATACAGACCAAAAACAAAACAAAACAAAACAAAACAAAACAAAACAAAACACCCAAAACCAAACCAAACAAAACAAAAAAATCCAAACAAACAAACAAACCAACAAACAAAAACAGTAGTGAATCTGTGACTTAGCATTTAGATGTTACCTCTGTAGGCTTCCAATTGAAACTTTCTTTCTCTAACAAATTAGCCTCAAGAGTCATTCCAAAGATAATTTTAATAGTTTTTCTTATGAACCAGCTCCAAATATATTAGATATGAACCATCATTTTTTTAAAAAAAACTTTGCAACCTACAGTCAAATATATGGGTTATATATAGTACAAACAGTTCCTCGGATCAGTTGCCTTCAATTGCAAAGTGTCTCCTCTTAAAAACGGAATAAATACTCACCTTCCAGGTAAGTGATTACTGCATATGTTTCATGAGGAAAAAAAAAAAAAAGACAAAATATTTATAAATATGAATTTGCCTCTAAATAAGGCAAGGTATATTTTCATCACTTGTATAAAATAACATGAAGATCACCCTGTTTTTGTCTTCTCCAGTGAAAAGTAAAACATTTCACTTCAAGCATGAACAAATGAAGTGTTGGCATGCTTATTTAAGTTCTGAGCAATAAACAGTTCAAGATATCTTAAAGACAAGAAATCCAGTTTTCATCTAGATAAAGTGCTATGCTCTTAATTGTTACAAAATGGCTGCTAACATTTCCAATTTCAATTTGAGTTCACATTATGCCAAACATTTGCATGTTCATTCGCTGATTTATTAGGTAACAAAATAGTATGTTCACAGTATCTTAGAAGTGTATGGAAGTCAACCGACTTCCCAAAGGAAGCCAAGATCTATGCCTCATAGTATTTGTAAGAATCCAAAAACCAGCTCAACAGCAAAACGCCAAATTGACCCTTTTAATAAAAGGTACCAATACTCAAGTGATCTAATAAATACATACATAACAAAAGTGAAAAAAGTAAAAGTAACTACAGTGAGATGAGGTTCTTCCACAAAACGGTCTTGTCAAGCGTTCTAGGAGTCTGAGCCAAAGAAAAGTTGCCATTTTGTTCATTCCTCCGCCCACCCGCTCCCACTTCCTTTGACCCACCTTCACCCCCAGCTGACTCCAGTGGTCCCTCTAGGGAAGGTTCCTTATTAGTCCTGGGACTCGCCAGCGCCTCAGTCAACAGACTGAAATGTTAAAAAGTGAACAGCTGTACAATGCGGCCAATGGTGGTGACACTGCAGTGTCTGGGTCCTTCCTGACCGAGAAGGTGGTGGGTACTGACTGGCTAAGGAGAGCTGTGCCGGAAGCAGTCACCACGGTAGCTCAGCCCTGCGGCCACAGCCTGCAGAACACCAGCCGGCCCGGGCGGATGCCTTGGAAAGCTTAGCAGCGCCAGATAAAGGACAGATACAACTCACAGGACCTTACGGAAGTAGAGCATCACTAAAAACAAATGGCGTAGGGGTATCTTCCTGAAACGTGGTTTTGGTAGAAAGGTAAGAAAAGTTAAGTTTTCACTGTCCACAAAAGCGTCCTCCTCTGGGCTCTGCCTGCCCTGAGCTCCGTGCCTTCTTAGCCTCTGGGGTCCTAACGGCGGCGGGCGGCGAGGGGAACACAGCCCCAGGCAGGCGCTAGCCACCGTGAACAGCTTCTCTCCACCCTGTTCCACCTGGAGGATGATTTTAGTATTGAGGTTACTCACTTTTAAACGTTTTCACTTGCACAAACTTAAAGCTATAGCTGCAGCCCTAACAGGTGAACTTCTACCCGATTCTGTCCTTGCGTCAGAAAAGAGGCAGAGAAGCTACAAGTGGGTAGCAGTGCTTCCCGGGACAAGTTAAAGGAATGCATTGACGTGAGATCCCGGAAGCCACTTGGGACGTTTAGCAGGGACCCAAAACAGACTGTAGACCTTCCCGTAGGAAATGTCACTCTAATTGAGCCAGACGTAGCCGTGGCGTAGCGTTTCCCCAATCCTAAAATTAGCAACTGTTACTCATACAAATCTTACTACAATCTGATTGCAGTTAACTCTACCTCAGACTAAAATAAAACCACAAGTAGTGCTGCATGTAAAAAACCAAAGGGAGAGAAAGTCTAACCCAGCCAGACCATTACACTTGGCGTAGTACCACTGGCGGGGCCACTGGGGAGGAAAGTCTGCAGAGAAACCAGGGAATAGTGCCGTGAACAGTTCCCCCCATGTGAACTCGTCCCACAGTTCTTCAAGTTATTCTCTTGACTGATAGAATAAAATATATCCAGACTCTGAATTTTTTGATATATCTGACGTCAGGCCATAGAATTCTTCAATAGCTTGGGCATCTATTTTCTGCAATAAGAGAAAGAAAACAATACAACTGTTTAATGGGATGACTGAGAGAAGGGAAGAAAAACAAATGGAATGAACAAGAAGACTGAAGCAAACACTGTTTGCTACAAAATCACAACTGGGAACTTTCAACAGCAAACAGCTAATTCCACAGACCTGGCAATGGGGCATGATTACATACATTGCAAATCCTGGAGGAGGGAGGCCAGCCTTCAAGCTATCGGCAAACATATGTGGGCATGCTTTGAAGCAGCCAGGACGCCCATCTTTCAAATGGTAAACTGGGGGGTCTGGGGAATAACCTTAATTCTTGCAGGTCGTCAGACTTCATTCCCATTAGTGTCACCCTCTGAGCTAAAACGGACCTTGTCTGAGTGTGGAATTCTCTCCGGCTAGTATTCCTTTACAACAGAATCAATATATGGGAACACTTGAGTGTAACATAAAGATTTCCAGGTCCAACAGACTGAAAACATATTTTTAAATATCAATCCATACAAGAAGAATCTGGCATAATGAAAGAGTGCTTACAGAGCTTTTTATTAAGTTTATTATTGGGCTGTGTGCTGACAGCTCGGAGCCTGGAGCCTGGAGCCGGATTCTGTGTCTCCCTCTCCCTCTGCCCCTCCCCTGCTCGCACCCTGTCTGTCTCTCTCTCCAAAATAAATAAACATTAAAAAAAATTAAAAATTTAAAAAATGAAAATAAAGAGTTTATTATTTGGTCTGTAGTAGAGAGGGCTTTAGTCACAGTGGAAAATGAGACTTACATATGAATACGGTTTCAGGGGACAAAGAGATCCCACATCTATGGCTGATCAGTTAACAAGAACGCAGTTAACTCATTAGTCCCCAGTCACACCCCTTTCTCCCTTTCTATAGAGAATAAAGAACAGCAGAATTTAGTCTTGAGAGAAATGTAAATGGTTTTTAAGCCAGGTTATGGGAAAACAGGCCTATCTTAGGAAATGTCCGCACATACACGTTCCCCCAAATACAGTCTACGCTGCAGCCCCATTATAGAGTAATCTGCATACCAACCTCTACAATGTCATCATCAAACAAAAGCCAGAAGCCATGACTCTTCACAATAGTAATATAATGCCCACGATTAGGACCACTGGAAAAGAACAAACACAAGTTATCAAGTTAACATTAACTTCTTTCAAAAACTAGGTACTTCTTTTTAGGCAGTGATCTACCTGAACAACCTCTCTCAGCAGGAGAATGGGTATAGGTCACGTCTATATCCACATTTATTTGGCCACAATTTATGGAGGAAGACCCACGTGGTGGTGCTGTGGTGAGCATAAAGGAATCTTCTGCAAAGACGCAAAAAAGTCAGGCTTCTAAAGACCCACGGTCCAGTGGGGAAAGCAGATATTCAAATTCAACAAATATAAATGAATAATTACCATACACCTACTATGTGCCAGACTCTCTTCTGGCCGTCAGACAAAAAAGCAGTGAAGAAAACAGTGTTCCCACTTTCTTGGGATGAGGGCTGGAGAGGCACTGAACAAACTAAAATAGATTTCAATGTATACTAAGTGTGATGAAGGGGCACCTGGGTGCCTCAGTCAGTCTAGTGTCTGCCTCTTGATTTTGACTCAGGTCACCATCTCACAGTTCATGAGTTTGAGCCCCGCATCGGGCTCTGCACGGAGAGTCAACACAGAGCCTGTCTGGGATTCTCTCCCTCCTTCTCTCTCTGCCCCTACCCCCTCCCTCTCGCTTGCTCTCCCTCAAAATAAATAAATAAACTTTAAAAAAAAAAAATTGCCATGAAACATAAAGCAGAGTAAAGCATGGTGAGTGACAGAGGGAAGTACTATTTTTTTTTTTTTTTAAATTTTTTCTTTTTTTTAACATTTATTTATTTTTGGGACAGAGAGAGACAGGGCATGAACGGGAGGGTCAGAGAGAGGGGAGACACAGAATCGAAACAGGTCTAGGCTCTGACATCAGCCCAGAGCCCGACGCTGGGTTCGGAACTCACGACCACGACGGTGACCTGGCTGAAGTCGGACGCTTAACCGACTGCGCCACCCAGGCTTCCCGGGAAGTACTATTTGATACACAATGGTGACAGTCCTCTGCTAACCCAAGATCTGAGCAGAAGGAACTTTCCCTGAGAGACGAGGTGATGGTGACGAGCCATGTGATGGAAGTTTACAGCAGGTGCAAAGGTACTGGGCATGGCAGGGGGGGGGGGGGGGGTTCCTGCGGGGTTCACCGAAGAGCAAGGAAGCCTGAGCCCAGTGAGCCAGGGGGAGGGGAGGAAGGAGGCCACAGAGGTGTGGGGCTGCAAGTAAATATGGATTTTGACCTCGCAGAGTCAGTCAGGAAGACACTGGGGAACTCTGAGGAGTGGCATCATCTAAGTTTTAGAAATATGTTAAACTATAATATAGAATAACACGTGCTCAAAGGAAAAGGTACGTATCACATAATATGGGAAAAAGTGGAACTACACAGCTGTTACTATTAGTTAGATCTGCACGACTGAGGGAATTTAACCCCAAATCTAGAGTTCCGTTTTGTTTTTTCAGTGTTACCACTAAAGTTCAAAAGCCAAATTTGCCTTTGTTTTCTGTCTTTTTTTTTTTTTTTTTTTTTTTTTAAGTAACCTCTGTGCCCAATGTGGGGCTCGACTCAGAACCCAAAGACCAAGAGTCACATGCTGTACTGACTGAACCAGCCAGGTGACCCTGTCCGCTTTCTTTAAATACAAGACGAGCCACGCGAACTGTTCCTGCCTTTCTCCGACGCCATCCAGCCACGCTCTCCCCTCCCTGGGCTCTGGACCCCTGGTTTCCTGTTCTTCACACGGCGGGCCTCTGCCCTTGAGACACTCTGCCCGAAATGATCCTCTTCCGATGTGGGCCTTCCTGGCTCATTTTAGCCCTTAGGCCTCAACCCCAATGTCACCTTGGTAGCTTCGCTTCACCAGTCCCCATCCCTGAAGAGGAACCTTCAACTGCTCTCTCTCAGAGCCCTGTTCATTCCTCATAGCGTTCCTCAAACTCGAAGTCATCTCCCAGTGCTTTTGTTTTGGTGCTGACAGGCGGTGTGCTTACTTGCTAATTATCTGTCTTTCTCGCCAGAGGCTCAGCTTCATGAGAACAGGGCCCGTGGATCTTCATCACTGCTGTACCTTCAGACTCTGCTACGAACCCAAGAAACAAGGGTTCAAAGAATAACTGCAGTCGAAATCAGAGAATGAGACCGCACCAGCTGCATCCATGGGCCAGGAGGTCCTGGCGTGGATGAGGGAACGCTCAGCTCCCCAGCCTCGGAGATCCCCAGCGTCCACGGCCCAGAGCCACCTGATCCCCATGTGCAAGGCCAGCCCTGCTCTGTGTAGGAGGACAGTCCTGTCTCTAGTGGGGAAGAATTTAATGAATGCTAGTTAGTAGCACGTGTGACTCGGCACCAGTTGGCCCTTGCTGCCAGGGCCGCTCTGACCTTGAGCCCTCATTACAGAAAGTCACTATTCTGCAACCCAACCTCACTTGTCCTCCAGGTCCCCTATAGGGGTCGCATCCTTATCCTCACCAATGCTCTAGGGATTAGTCATCACCCACAGAGATCTGTACTGAAACCGTGTATATACTTCTGAGCACCTTCTGTCTCCCCATCACCTGCCCACATCAGCCCACTGCCCACCTCGGCCACAATGCCCTTCAGGTACCAGGCTCTGCCAGCCCTAAGTTCCTGCCACGAGGTCCCACCCAACATTCACAGCTAGTTTCCAGATCACGAGCCTCGTGCGTTCTTTAGAAAAATAACTGGTGGAATTCCTCTTCAGGAAAACCACAGAGCTGGCTTATAACCGACCAAAACACAGAACACTGGGAATGTAAGAAAGGATCCTGTGACTTCAAGTCCGCTCTGCATGGGACAAATAAGGTGCTTCAGAGGCGAAGCATCCGCCGCCGTGCAGGGGGAAAAGGAAATCAGTCTACTCCTCTGCGTGGAACCATGCATCCTCTTGTTATGGTCTGTGCACCAAAATCCAATCCAGGCAGATGGAGAGGAAAATAATCCTGCTCAGTGACACACCCCTACCTAAAACCCAGAAGGGCAGGGGAACGACAGAACACAAATCTCTTCCAGCTGAGCAAAGGATAACAAACAGGTGTATTTTCAGTGGACTTTTCCATGCTTGTATCTATAGCCTTGGAAGAAAAAAATATCTGCTCAAAGGACTTTCAGCAAACACTTTTCTTCTCCGTATCTAGGAGCCTTCTCTCTTACTCTCTTTTTTCTGGTTGGGCTAAAAACTGCATGAAGAATATCCTGAAGAGTACATTTTGGATTCATTTTGAGATGATAGATAAGAGCCTGGAAGACATTCTCAGAAGTCCCATTACTACGGAGTCTCACAGCCCAGGAAAGGCATAGCTGCCTCTGTTTCGGCACCCTTCTCGCGTGCACCCCGCCGTGCGCCCCGCTTTTCCGCCTGCCCTCACCTGCCACAGTGAACCACCACAGCGACCAGGTCGTACATGCGGTCCAGGTTCACGGCGTCGCTGGAGGTGTTGAAGAGCCGGAGCTCCAGCGGGAAGACCACCCGGTAAGACAGCTTGGTGTACCTGTGCAGCTGTTCCATGTACTTGAACCGCTTTAGGTGCAGGGCCAAAATCATGGGCAGCTTTTTTACTCTCATCCTAAGAAACCACGAAATAGAAAAGAAGTTGTACCCCCTAAGAGCTGTTGGGGGGCAGAATACACTGCTGCCACACAAACGGAGAGCAGAAGGGGTCTAACAGACTTCAGGTTGGCAAGTAACCACACCGCCCGTAAGAATAAAAGGATGCTTGCACACATACAGCTGGTTAACCTGCTTGCTCGGCTAACCGGGCACAGCCAGCAGGAGAGGAGGGCAACAGCAGCTCTGTTTCTCTCTGGCCAAAGGAGACAGTCCTGAAGTTTTGTACCAATGCAAATACGGTGCGCAACTGCTCTCCATTACTGCCCCCTGCCTTCCAGAAAGGAACAATATTTGGACAGCCACACCCCCCCTCCACCCCGCCTGGAGATAATGGAGAGGAGGGGTGACCACTTTTGGGAAGAGGACAAGCAGAAGGCTGCGGTATGGACTTCTGGGGTCTGAGGACCACGGGGGGCGCTTGGGGAAACCAAGCACGCTGGGCTCACGCTCACTCACTCTTGTGTCGGTCCTTCCCCTCGTCTAGCTCTTGGTTTCCCCACTCGTAAAATGTAGGGGTTGGCTTAAGGGCCACACTTCCCAAACTGGGCTTGTGGAGCACTGGAGACATCAGCAGAGGCGGGGTTCCTGGGGCCAAGTTTGGACAGCTACTTTCTATTTCAAAGTTCCTCCCTGTGCACTGGCAGAGAGGTTCTGAGAAATCCTATAGTAAAGGAACTGTTCTCTTTTGTCTGATGTAGCATTTCCCAAACTTACATGAACACAGAAATCTTTTTTCACTAGGTGACCATTAATATTCCTTGGTAAAAAAAAATTCATAAAAACAATAGTTTATGGAGACAACTCTGCTGGAATAGAGATCTTTGGTCCTAGAGATCTTTGGTCCCCTTCCGGACCCCCATTCTAGGAATGCCCTGAGTCAGTGTCAATGCTGTTCAGCATGCACACATTTTCAATGCATATTATTTGAAAAGGACAAATTTTAAGAGACTGTTGTTCAGGAATCTATTGAGGTAAAACCCTGTTCGTAAAAATAAGCAAAATAACGTCTGCAGAAACAGAAGAATCATGGGAAGCCTGATATTTTACAGGAACACACAGTATTTTAATGAACATGCCTTCATGCCATATAGGAAGGCCTGGGCTGGCCTTGGGTTGACTGAGATTGTAAGGACAGGGAGAAGTGAGCTCCCCTGATGACTCACAAAAATTAACCAGCTATCACTCCACTCCCATCTGCCACAAGGAGTCACCTTTCGTAAGTTTTGATGCAGCAAGGAAAGATGTGCATGTCTAGGGGGGAAGAGCAGGGAAGGCTGAGCAAAGAAATGATTTCAACCTCAGCTCAAGACCCCTGAAGGTTTTAGATGGCGGTAATGAGCTTCTGTGAGCTATTCTGAATATTCCACAACCATGGGCAGAGTAAATTCAATTCATAGTAAGACTTCACAGGATAATTAAAATGTCAAGTTTCTTGGCTTCCGGGGGCAGATAACAGAGAATCACTGATTCGCACACATTGTCCAGGGGCTCTAACTTGCCGGTGCTGGTAAAAAGGCAACTATGGATCCTGTATCAATTCAGAATGTGATGCTTCTTATCACCTATCCATGCAACTGATGTGTTATTGATTTCCTCGTGTTTCCACATTAAATCATTAACTTTTTAAACCTCTTGTGCCTCTAAATAAGAAGTTCCAATATGAAGTAACAATTCTACTAGATATCTACTATGTGTTATACTCTATGCTAAATCCTTTTTATAATCTGTCTTTAATCACAAGAAAATAGTAATTATATCTGACCACCACTCATTTACCCAGCATGGTATCTGATACACAGCACACAATAAATATTTGCTGAACGAATGAATGAACAAATGATCAAACGATCAGACAAATGGACAACTTTCCAAGGCAGGCACTCTTATCCTAGTTTATCCAGGGAGGAAGGCAATTGACTTCTTCAAAGCTACTTGGCCACGAGCCCACAGAACTGGGATTCAAAATCAGGTATGGTTCCTTCCCTCAAAACCAAGCCACCCTCTGGGCTAAACCCTTTTACACACCTTTTCTGGGCCTCCTGTTTGCTGCAGCACGTTTCACAATAATATTTCTGTTCACTACACAGTGTTTCTGTGTTGCTGAAGTCTCTGCAGAGAAAAATATTTTCAACTCAAAAAACAGTCCAAAATGTACTTAGTATACACCATGTTTTAAACCCTTTATCACCTGCAGGGTAATTTTTAAGTGAATGCAGGGAAAGAAGTAATGAGAAAAGACTTTTCTTATGAGTAGGGGCTATGATTGCCATTACAGCATGTCTCCTGGACTGGCTTATGGTTTCACCTTTGGAGATTTCCAAGGATAGCTTTATTAAATGGGACACAAATAGATATAAATTAGAGTTTCCAACTGATTAAAAAAAATATCAAGTTTTAACAAGCTACCTATAAATTGGAGATTAAAAATTATAACCGAAAATACTATTGTAAACGTCCATCATTACACTGTAAGTCAGGTCCAAAAATCTCAATCACATAAAATGCAAGGTGACATTATTGTGTAGTTAATGAAAAACAGGGTATCTCAGGAGTCTGTATTTTCTAAGATCACGAGAGTAAAGATAATGAAATTTAAATCACATACAACTGCCCTTATATTGAACTAAGAAAATCCCAAATTAGCAGGAGATGCCAGCTTTCTACAATCCCCAGCTCCCTGCCCCCCCCACCCCCCCTCCACCCCCCGGCTCCTTTTGAGAACAAATGTCATTGTGATGTTATATCTGTATTCACCCCTGTCATGAGACTTACTGCACTACTTAAAAGTTTTCATTTTTTAAATGTCATGGCTTTTCATTCTTTTCTGGTCATTGAGATTCTACTTAACATTCCTGTGGTACCGCTTCAAAGGCTGAGAAGAACATCCAGAATATAATAATACCCTAGAGTCTTGAGAAAGCCTGTGATGTTTCTTTATTCATAGGGTGTATCCTAGCACCAGAATGATCAGATTTTATTAAACAGAAAGTGTTATTTACATGGTGTTATGGACTCACACACATAAACAGAGCTTACCAAAAGAAAACATAGATTGCTCATTTATTCACTACTCAAATGTTTACTGACAGCACTCTGGGCTTGGTGCTAGGGGTTCACAGAGGCACCTGCCCTCACACTGCTCACAGTCTAACACGCACACATGCGAGCGAGCCGCCTAAGTGTTCAGTGCAGGTCAACAAGTCATTTCAGGGGCGCCTGGGTGGCTCAGTCGGGTAAGTGTCCGACTTCAGTTCAGGTCATGATCCCAAGGTTTGCGAGTTCAAGCTCCGTGTCAGGCTCTCTTCAGTCATCAATGAGTCTGCTTCAGATTTTCTCTCCCTCTCTCTCTGTCCCTCCCCCACTCATTTTCTCTCTCTCAAAAATAAGTAAACATTAAAAAAGAAAAATCATTTCAGGGGCACCTGGTTAAGTGTCAGACTCTTGATTTTGGCTCAGGTCATGATCTC